GTGAAAATTTCTTAATATATCACACGTTTTCTTTCGTTTGTATTTCTCCTGCTGCTACCCGTCTCTCTCCGGTTTCTTTCCCGTGTCTCTCCGTTTCCTCCGTCTTTCACGTCTCTCCCCCTCTTTTCTCTTTTCTATTCTCTTCCCTCTCCCTATCTCGCCTTCTCCTTCACAAAGGCGCTTCAAACGCTTGTTCTAATACTCGTAAGCAAAACAGTACTCGTACAGAAGCTAAAACGGGTCGAAAATAATACACACTAAATCTACATTACATTATTAATGCACAGTTCACTTCAAATTGTAGAAGACAAAAAAAACTTCTAAAAGTTTGTACAGAAGAATACAACTTTTCGACTCTTGCCACGAAGCAGGTTCAGGCTAGAGCTTACTCACATCCGCGTCCCCTTCCCTCGGAACGCCGAAGAACGGATATCCGTCGCCATCGTAAACGCCCACAAGCCACATCCCACATCCACACCCACGCTCCGTTCCCGCTCTCGCGCAGCGCTTCCACCCTACTGTTCGTCCTCCCGGAGATCCCACCGCCCACGCTGCAAACCAAACACGTCCGTTCCTGCAACCTACACACTCCACCCCGTCCGTCTTCCCCTGCGTATGCTTCTCCTTCGCCCCGTCTCCACTGCCGCAGCCTTTTCTCGCCACTCCCTTCCCCGCCCAGACCCCGGCCTTCTCTTCCCCTGCCCTGCTCCGCGCCGGTATCGTGGTCACTCGCCCCAACCCGCCGGGCCGAATGTTATTATATTCCGTCTCAAATTGCTGCCGTCGTCAATTAATATCATAAATTTATGAGCGGATCATTTTGCGTCGTTTCGCACGTGGGAGAAATATATATAATAATAAAGAAAAAAGAAGGCGATTAGGCCGGGTATCCTCCGTGAATCTTTAATGTGTGTTATTGGGCTGGATAATTGCAGGTTGCTGCCGGACAATGTCACGCGCAGTTTGCGCGCGCGTTCGGCAGCACACGCCGCGCCGCTCTAAACCTATATTGCTCGCCACATTTTCGATAGGCGTTAGAGCGTCCACTTCTGTTTATTAGAGCAATAGGTTCCCGACGCGGCGAGAGCGACGGAGGAGGCGGTGGAGCGGGGACGGCGGCAGCCCGCTCAGGGACACGAAAGCCCGGGTCTCCGCGCCCCGCCCGCCGCCCCGCGGCCACCGCCGCCCCTCAACGGGCCCGTAGCCATGCGCTCCCGGTGGGCGGATGGTCCCCGGCAGCCCGTCGCCCGCCCATCGCCCACCACCCATACGCACGGACCGACGCCCGCCGTGCCCTAGCGCCGCTGCCCTTCTTCCCGTTTAATTTATCCTTTCCTTCTTTTTGGGGTATTCCGCCTCCTTGTTAAAATTATTTTGTTTTTGTGCGCTCCGCGGTCTCCGCCCGTGCGTCTTTCTCACATCTCCGGCTTAAGAATAATGACGTTCTATCATAGTTTCGGTATTTGAATTGGCTTAATTTAAAGGAAAGTTAGTTTGAAATCGATAAATATGATGTAGCAGGAGATAGCACTTGACGTAAATACAGCAAGCGTGCCTAATAAGGCACCTTGCGGCCAGTGTCAAGCGTATTGTCGATGCAGAATTCCCGGCCAAAACGCGGCGTCGCGGAGGGCGAGCGCCCAGGAATTCGCCGATCCGCCGGCGGAATGCCTTTTCGGCGGGCGGGCGCGGCCGGCGGCGGGCGGACGCGTGGGCATCTTTGACCGGGCCCCTCGAAAAAAACACATTTTGCACTTTGCATTATTTAGTGTATTAAACAGACGTTTTTGGTACATCATGAAATAAACGTAAATATTACGATTGTAGTCTACAGAACGTTTCGAATCTTTCTCTTTATAAGGCTCTTTTTCAGAGATTTAAGCAAGGAAATACCATCACATAATGTTTAAAGCGTTGTTAATTCTCTGAAAAATGATGTGCGCATTCGCTACAGGAGTGTGATGTTCCCAACAACTAAGTTGAACAAATCGAGAAATAACGTTTGACATCGCAAAAACACGAGAAATGTGCGAAAATAATCTAAACATAATTTTTTATTTTATTATCTGAAAAATTCTAGTAATTAAACGTTTAATTTTTTCTTAAATGTTCATAAGTCGGGAATATTATAATGCAAGCGGTTATTGGTAACCATACCTTCAATTTTCGTCACAGGCCGAAGTATTGTTTCCAGCACATCCTTGCAATTTAAAAGATTGCTAGTGTAACCGCACGACTAACGTGAGCGATCATGATATAAATTGAAGGACCCTGCAGCAATTATTGCTTTAGTAAACAAAGCCAGAATGTTTTAGTTTGTTGCTCTTTTTATTGAAAAAATGATAAAATTGTGTCTTTGCAGTGCGATTGTACATATGGTGAGAAAAAAAACAATATGCATAAATTAGTATTCAAGTAAATGTATAAATGTGAATGTTAACAAAACGTTCAATTTTTTATTATTGAGAGTCCTCCATAACAATTTGTAAAATCATAACGGAAGATTTTAGCAAAATCTTGGCTTGCGCGGACGTTTCCAGTGGAAATTTTGAGTATATAAAACAGAAGTCAGTCAAAAACTATGTAATTAGTATTATGCTTTCTGTTATCACGCCGCACACGAGTCCTGATTCTTCAGAATTAGAGTCAAGTTCCATTACTAAAGTAAACTGGTTTGTTTGACTCATTGACATTTACAGCGTCAGTGCACAAATTGACAATGGGCCTGAAACGCGAATAGATCTCTAGCCGACGTGCTCTTTACGATAATATGTTCCTTATTTCTTCGCCGCCGTGGCTTTGAGGCGAACGCTGCACACATTCGCTAAATAGAGACACGCTGAAACAGTTTATTGCAGAGTGTCAGTGTTTTATTATTGTCCTTTTTTGGTCGTTTATTTTGTTGTTTTTATCACCGGTGCTAGGGGAAGTTAAGAACATTCCTCAAGTTGTCACCACCGTTCCTGCATGATTCACATTCCTCCTCAATCATCTTTTCGCGAGACTCTACGTTCCCTGAAACGGGCGGAGCTGGCACGAGATGCGAAGAGAAGGAGAAGAGTCAGATGGAGAGAGAGAGAGACGCGGAGAGGCGAGGGGACCGAGTAGGCTATTAGAAAACAGCGGAATTCCTGCTCGTCTTTCTCATTAGGTCCCTACGCGGCCGGCGCGCCACCGCCTCCGCCACTGCCGCCACCACTACCGCCTCCGTTCACCGCCGACGCCGCCACGCGCACCTCTGCGCACTACGGCGGGGCTTGCGAAGCGATGCGTGGGGCGGTGGCGAACTCCGGGGTCGGGGTTTTTTGTCCACTCGTTTGCCTTTTTGAATTCGGCCCACTTGCGATGTTCGACGGCCCTGCATTCATTCAATCACGCGATACGGCGCGCGCGGGGCAGTAACCAGCGCGGTGCCATACGCCGCCGACTCGAGCCCGCCGACGCCAACGCCACCCCACCCACCACGCCACTCACGTCACGCTACGCCAGCCACGCCATGCTACACTAACGCCACGCCAACGCCACATCACACACAACGCCACGCCACACACGCCACGCACCAATACTCACGCCACTCTCCGAGTGATCATAAACCCAAGTACCTGATACTTCCCATCAATGATTATTGTTGATTTACGATTTGAAAAACTCGGATGCTTTACACTTATTCGAACAATTTTCATGATGTGCTATATATTGGCAAATTTCCCATTCTTTTTTCAGAAAACATCTTATAGTTCTCACGTAAATAAGCGAATGTACTACATATTCATTTCTCTTTGTGGCAATTAAACAGCTGTGCAAGAGTGAGAAATACACTTTGAAATATAATTTTGATTTAACAATCGATACTCTACTTTCTAGTAAACCTATGCTGCAATTTTATACCACTCAACTATTCTATTTGCGTTTGCCGGTTTCTTTTAACCCTCGTTCCTCACACCTAAGCATCATCTTTCACTCATTTTCACACACTTATCACACATCGGTTCTTACAGTCATCTTCGCTCATTCATCACGCATACCAACACATCGACGTGGTCCAAATTACCTCCAGAGTCTGATCACAAATTAAGTAATGGACATTCATTAATGATTTTAATAGATTTCATAACACGATGTATCATTTTCGTGAATCTCATTATTTCTATTATTGGTGCATTGAAAGATTAGATTATTCGTTTGAAAAATCCGACTACACATAAGGATGTATGAAATATTAAAAAGATCTCTTGGGCATACATCACAAATTCCAGTAACAGTCCTCAACTATTACGAAAACTTCATTTCGTGCGGTTCCTTACAGATAAATGTAAAACCAATTCACTTACTAAGTATTTACAATCATCCTTTTCATGCATTATGCTATTTAAGTTCAATTTCAATGACCACGCTTTATTCGGTGCAGCCTTTGTCAACGCAAAAAAAGGTGTGATGCGTGTTCACTCCAGTGCGATGGTGGCCTAACACATTTGGCGGTCAGTCGTTTACCCGAGTCCTTGAGTAAAAAGTATAGACACATGAACTAATGTCATAATATTATCCTATTAGCTTTTCGCTCTGCTTGTACTTGGTAATAAATAGTTAGAATGTGGCTGTGAAATTTCACGCGGTAGCTTCGTTGCCTGTGTCGTTGTTTTGCGTGCCGCTTAGCAGAGTCGGAGAATTAAGTTTCTTTCCGAGTCTCCTTACATTACCAATATGAGTGGGGTATCTTCGAGTTCAAAGATGGGAAAATCTGTTACAAGAGGCGGCGCAACCTTCACGCTGAAGGGCGCGAAGCCAGCGAATGGCGGGTGCGTAGTGGGCGCGGCGGGCACGCGGTGTTCCTGACGAGAGCGGTAAGCGCTTCTGCTGCGGTCCGGGTGCAGGGGAGGGGATGGGGACGCCCGCACTTTGGAGTGTAAAGAGCTGCCGTTTTTGTGCGCGCGCTCCGCAAAAACTCGCGTTGGGCCGACACGGGCGCTAGGAGCGCACCAGCAGCTTGTCCGACAAGCACGATGCTTGAATATGGTTGGCGGAATGCGGCGCTGGCCAACGTTCTTGGCGGTGCTGGCCCAGCCGGTACCATCTCAGCCTCTCCATTCACACGGACCTGGCACCGGCGTGCGACGCGTTCTGCCCGGGATCCGCGCCAGCGGCCCCGCCCGGCTCCGCCTCCCCCCTCCGTCCTCCACTGCCCCCACCCGCCCACGCCCCGTGCCCTCTCCCTGCTCGCACAACCCGCACCGGCATCAACCCGTACCATCCGGCTCCGTCCCGCTGCGCCCGCCTTAACCCCTTCCCTGCTGCCTGTCCGCCTGACGACACCGCCACAACCCCGTACCATCCGCTTCACCCTGTGTCCGGTCCCGCTGCCACAACCAGCACCGCGTAACTCCGTATGGTCTGCACCGACGTCCGCGTCACCTCCGCTCTCCCGTTTCGCTGCCAACCGTTTCCCTGTACCATTCCGCTGCCTACCCACCACGTCCCACTCTGTCCCTTCCCCACTCATGTCCCAATTTCTTTCCAACCTGCCTCAGCTCCGTTCGACTGCGTCGCTCCTTTCCTGTCGGCCTCGCCTCGCTCGTTCTGGGCAAGTAATTCCCCGTTGCGCCCCCTGGGAAAGTGTAGAGAGACGAGGACGAAGACGAGGACGAGGCCGTTGAAAATGTTTTCCATTATTTTGAGCATCACCCTGGCGCCTATTATCTCCTGTCTGTTGCGCCCTGCTTTGCATTGCAACACCCCACAAGATTCTGTCTGTCAACTGAACCCTCCCCGCCCGATCCCGCACCGCCCCCTCCGCACTTTCTCACCATTTCTGCTGCCCTCTCTCCCCACTATACCTACCCCAACCTCACGGTCTTCTCATTCCGTAGCACTTTTGGTTTCCTCGATTCGTCCCTACCCGACCCGCATTCTCTCCTACCTGTTCCACTCTCCTTCCTTTTACATCGCCCCGCCGTCGTCCAACCTGTGCACTCTGTTCCACTACTCATAGAATCGGCCCAGCTTTTCCCCTCTCTCCTTTTCCCCCAATGTCGTTGCATGCCGCTTCACTCTTCTGTAATTCCTGTTGCCATATACGTCTAGACGACACACTCTCCCCATTTTGCCTTGTGAGGTAAATCTGTCCGTTCTTGTCTCTTCAGCTCGCATTATCCTTGACTAGGTTGTTTGAATGCATATGTTCTCTCCGCCATTAACCCCTTTCGGTTCAAATCGTTATCGTCGTTGAAAAGGCAGTCTTTTAGGTGTGCCGCTTTCCTCTGTAAAGTGCGATTTGTTAACTCTTTAGCACTTCCGACTCTCATTTCTTTCCTCAGTTATCAATGCACGTGTATGTAATTTTAATTTCTTACGTGAAGTTGACTCATTTATACAGTACATTAGGCTAAAGAAAAGTCGTTTTATGTTGCGATTGTAATTTGCTCAGAAACAAGGATATTGTTGTAATTTAGGTTGTGATAATTGGTTGCCTTCACTCGTCGAATCTCTTTACTGCTGTCCAGAATATGGATGGCTTAATAATGTATGTTTTAATACACTCTGGCGTATCTGAATCTTAAACTATGAGGTTGAATATGAATGCTTTCTCTTCGCGATTAATTGCTTCATGGAAACACATTAATTAGATAGTACTTCAGTTGTGAAGGAAGACGATGGTGTGATTTTTTCTTGCACGAAATTGCATCTGACGTATACAGGTGTCTCAGTATAAATGAAACAAACTTCTAGAGCATGCAGAGCGATGTTGAATTTTAGCCAATGATCATGTGATTGAAAATTTCATATAGCGGAGTCACACATGGGGATATTTCTCCTTATTTTTAGGCAACGTCTTATTAACAAATGCTCGACAGAGCCGAGGGGATTTCGTGTACCAACAGAAAACCTGTGCATAGGAAGTTGTCTAAAAATTAGAACCCAATGCCACATGTATCAATCCTTTAAACTCCGTTTTACGCATTCCAACTGTATGTTAATTGGCGCAAAGTGATCGTATTCGACTGTTCTCCATGCCCTGGAAGTTTGTAACATTTATTCCGAGACACCCCGTTGATGACGAGGACATTGTATCGTGATTTGGGCAAGTGATAACAATGTATCGGCGCCGTGTTGCAGGTGAGGTGGTGACGCGCGAGCCTCTAGACCGAGAGGCGCGCGCCACCTACGAGCTGGTGGCCGAGGCGCGCGACCAGGGCGTGCCGCCGCGCAGCGCTCGCGTGGCCGTGCGCGTGCGCGTCACCGACGTCAACGACAACTCGCCCGAGCTGGTGGACCCGCAGGAGGAGATGATCAGCGTGCGGGAGGACCAGCCGCCGGGCACCGAGGTGAGTGGAACGGGGCCTGATCTTGCGATTCCGAATGGAGATAGGCTTGGGAAATGGCTGGACTCGATGATCTTTGCATGGCAATCCTAGACCGAGCCGAGCCAGGATGCGCAGAGGTTGGGGGAGCAGTTTCAGAGTGAGCACAGCCGGAATGAGCTGAGGCAGGAAGAAAAGGGTTAAAGTGGAGTAGAGCGCGAGTGAGCGGGGTCAGGGTGAATATACGCAGTGTGAGAGTGATGGGTAGGGTGGGGGGTGAGCAGGGTAGGATGAGAAGGGATAGTTTGTGCAGCATCAAAATTATCAAAAGTGAGGAAACAGATTCAGAGGGATAAAGCGAGGTTGAACTGACCATGCAGTCAGCAGGGTCACGATGTGCAAGAAATAGTGTCCAATGCGTAAGGCGAGCAGGGACAGCATGGGAACAAGTGACTGGAGTATGTGACGATAGAGTAATGTATGTATGATAGGCAAGGATGGGATAAGCAGCACAGGGTGAGCACGAACGTATTGCAGGAGAACAGTGAGCGAGAAGCACTGTTGTTAGAGAAAGGGCCAAGCGCTGCATCTGGCGGGTGGACCGACCGAGAGCGGTCCAGGACGAGCGCGTGCAGGGCGGCGTGAGCCTACGAGCGACGTGAGTGAGCGGCGTGCGTGTGGTCCCGCAGGTGGTGCGGGTGCGCGCGGTGGACCGCGACCACGGCAACAACGCGTCCGTCACCTACTCGCTGCTCAAGGGCCGCGACTCGGACGGGCACGGCGTGTTCACCATCGACCCGGTGTCGGGGCTGATCCGCACGCGCGCCGTGCTCGACCACGAGGACCGCACCATCTACCGGCTGGCGGTGGCCGCCACGGACAGCGGCAAGCCCCCGCGCCAGACGGTGCGCCTGCTGCGCGTCGAGGTGCTCGACCTCAACAACAACCGACCCACCTTCACCAGCTACAGCCTCGTCTTCAGGGTGAGTCGCCCGCAATCCCTCCCCATTCGAATCAGGCGTTCTGCGTCCGCGATTTTGGGAAACCCTGCCTTGGGTGAACGTTTGACTCTTCCGCCTTCATAATGTAAATAAAATGAATTTCTTTAAAAAATGGGAATCAATTGTATTTAAGTGTTAGAACAGTTTTTCAATTCAAAACCAGGGCCCGGGAATGAGTGTTTGCGCCGCAAATTTTCTATTTTCCGGCGCACGATTGCAATACCTTCTCTTCTTATGAACGAAATGCGAAAAAGTATAATCAGACACATTTTTGGTAAAATTAACTTTTATTTGTCAATAGACCTTAATAAAAGGATTTATACTTTAATAATATTGTGGAAACATTCAATTTTCATACCTCTACTTGGCCGTATTCGTCATAGTGCCGAGACGCACCTTCTAAAAGTAAAAGTAAATTTTTGATTGGCCTTGGTCCTCCGGTGGTGCAACGCCAAGCGGTCACACCTCTTGCAGCTTCCCGTGCTCCCCGAGAAAACATTGAGTGTAACCGCAAAACCTGAGGCAACTATTTTATTCAACGCTCGACGGCTTGGACAGAATGTTTTACAAAAATAAATGCTAACGTTTCATGTAAGTTTTCTCAGATACATAGAGATCTTTATCGTGCTAGGGAGAAAAGACAACATAAAAACATCAACGTTCGTGTCAAATGGGTTTATTTTTCTAATTACATCTTGTACATTTCAAAAGTAACCATGCTTACTCTTACGTATGGCATGCGCAATCCTTCAAAGTACGCGAAAGAATGCACGGACCCTAATACAATTGGCCTCACCATGTGAGGATCTGATCTTACTTCTCAGTTCTGCGCCGGTGTCATGTGTCCGTAAGCGGGTTTCTCGCAGAAAAATGATCAGCTATCTGATTCCATTTTAAGACCTCCAGTATTAATTATCGCAAACAATATTTTGCGAATACAAATACTTCTCTGCTAAACTGTTCTAGATGTGAGATTTGCGCGGTGATGTGAAATTATGGGGTAGGTTTTTAATTGTACCTATGAAACACGATATCTACGAATGCTATTCCTTTACTTACGCCCCACCGCCAATTACAGATTTTTAGTGTGATAATTATGTTAGAGGAATGAAGAAACATGCTGTACGCTTAAAAGCCGGAATAAAAAGCAGGAGTGTCATTGAATCCTTAAATGAAATGTAGCACTATATCTTAATTTTTTGTTATTATAAATTCCCCAGGCTTTGATTGCAGCCATCTGAATTTATTACCAGAAGAAATACAGTCGCAAAGGCACGTTGGAAAGAGCGGGGAGTGGCTTATCTGCCTTGTAATCCTCTTCGATTTATCCCCTTCCTCTCACACACATCGAACACTTCACTGTCGCCGCCGCTTTGCCACCCTCCTCCGTTTCCCTCCTCCCCACCGCGCCATCGGTTCATAGCAAACCGAGCGACCGCCGTATCACTCACCGCCAGCCGTCGCCATAACCACCGCCTCTGCCTCCGCCTCCCCCTCCGGGTCTCTATAATCATCTCAGTTGCCGGCAACTATCGCTTTCTACTGCCACAATCACTGCCACGTGGTAGATAATGCAAATGTCGCGTTTTAGATACCGCTACCTGTTCTACGAACTACATTGGCAAACGCCCTATTGCCTCCGTTGCAAAATCAAGCTCCTCGTCTTCCGCCACCATCAGTACTATCACAACCCCACGCATCGCTCCCATAGCAGTTGCTTTCAACTGCCACCCAAACACACTGTCACCGCCAGCTACTCAGAAATAACTTGGCACCGATGTCAGCACCAACGGCTTTTACACCAGTATTTCCATTCACAAAACAACATCTATATTTCGTGACCATAATAAGCACATTTCTACCGTCACCACGAGATCTTTCGTTACAACCCCTAATGCCGCTATTTCTTCGATCTCACGACATCATTGCGAGATCAGGAAAACTGCATCAATACCACAATCACTGCCTCCACACACCACCTTCACCTACTTCCTCAGATCCAACATTTCAGTCACACCATCCCTACTCGTCGCTTCAGGACTATTTACTCAGATCCACTGCCTCAGCACCATCACCTCAGCATCGTCATCACCAGCGGCTCCTTTGCCTCCGCCATTTCTTCCGTCACCGACACCACCACTGTTTGTGCCTCCTACCACCACCGCCACCACTGTCACAGAAGTCATCCATCGCCACCGTCGCCATCGCTACCTCCGTCTTCGCCGTCACTTTTACTATTGCTATCGTTGCCACTGCCGTCACCTCTACCGCCACCATCGCCGCCCCTCCGCCTTCGCCGCCGCCCCGCGCGCCGCCTCCGTCAAATGCGGCACCTCCTTCGCGTCCGCCATCGTCCCCGGGAAGGCGGTTCGCGGGGATGGCTTGAGCTTAAGAGGTCTGGTGGCGGTGGGCGGTGATGGCGGGCTTGACGACGGCGCGGCAGCGCGGCACGTCGCTCTGCTCTTGTTGCAGCGCGGGGGCGGCAACTTCATTTATCTTCCATGCCACGGATATTTATGAGCTATCCGAAAATGAGATTTACTCGTAAAGAGAGTTGAAAATCGTATCGCTGCAGAGGCCTAACGAGCGCGAACGCCGAGGGCGGCGTGGGGCGGGGCGGGGGGCAAGCGAAGAGGGGGAGGGCGGGGCGGCAGCGACATCAGCGCGAGGAAGGAACTGGCTGTGGCGGCCCCTTTCCCATATTCTTGTCAGAACGCGTTAATTAAATTTATCATACGATCGATAAAATTACTTGACGTATCGTCTTCATTTTCGTGTTCTACTTGCGGTTCTACTTCTTCTTTAGGCGGGATTCGCTGTAGCTTCTCTGTTAGTCTGAACTCGAACTTCGTATGAACGGTTTCGCCAACCCGCCTGTGGCGTTGAAAGTACGATACGATTCGTTTAGCAGGCTCTACGTACACCTGTAGGTCCAAGCTCCTAGTCTATTCACAGAGGCCTTTCATTTTTCATTCATTACATTTCGGAGTGTCATTGTGGAAGAATGTGTCAGGTACCTATTGTTTCTGGAAGGAGTAGTGTAACTGGAGTAATCGATCACTAATAATTGTTTTTTTCTGGCTGGATGAAATTGCATCGCTGACTTTTTGTGATAGAGGTTCCCTGAAGGGAAAAAAAGTCTTTCAAAGATATGTTTCTGCAATCAGATTCATTAAGAAGTCTCTCGACGGGCAAAAAGAGATCATTATTTCATTACTTTTTGCTCTTCGCGTTGCAAGCAATCAAGTTACATTAGTAATCTGTTACTCATGTAAAATGTTGTCATTTAGATCTTATTAGTCGTTTTCTATTCCGTATCATTGGAAGCATTTTATGTTGTAGTTCTTACGCTACCCAAACCTGTTCATTGAAAATTTCGAGATTTTCACGGATGATGTATAATAATAAGAGATTTAAAAAGAGCACATTTCTACCTTTCCTGGTGCGGACTGTTCTCCCCAGCAGGTTCTTACAGTGACGCCAACAACTTGCTTGCCCCCCACACACACACGCACAGTCCACTCACCCCCTGCGGCTCCTGTCTACTCCACCTCTACCGCTGCCATCACCCTCGCCGCTCCCACCATCTTCCCTGCCACTCCACCACCATTCTTGCCGCCACTCTTTTCATCATCCTCCACCGCCACTCTCGCCGACGTTCCCGTCGCCAACCCCGCCGATACATCCCCAGCTACATCCTGCGCCCTCCTCCATCGCCGCAGTTGCTGCTGCTGCCACCCCGACACAATTCCAGCTGCCAGCTCTCACACCCGCACGTCCGTCATCATTCCCGCCGACCCCCTTCGTCATCGTTCTCTTCTGATTTTCCCCTTCTTCTTTCTGTGCCCTCTTACGCGATCCCTCGCTGCTTTTGATCCCGGGCGGCCTCTGCGTGCCCCCGCCCTCATCTGGTGTGACCCTTCCCGCTGTTTACCGTCTCCGCTTTAGCTCTTCCTGCGAGTCTCCGCCCTGGCCGCCACGTCCTCTCCTCCACCCTGTGTCGTCCTTGCCTGCCCCGCCCTCGGCTCTCGCCTTCGCCGCCGCCCGCGTGAGTGATGGCTCCGCGTGTCCCTCGCCGCGTCACGTGACCGCCCCCCTCCCGCGCCTCCCCTTCCTCTCAATTAGTGTCTCTTCGCCACTTAAATGCTTCCGACACGTAATCGTGGGAGGCCCCTTTTTATTGTCGGTCATTTTTTTAGCGACTCCTTTTTGTGCGCACGTCTATGCACGACAAAATAATTCTCGGTGAGTAATTGCATACTACGTCTTTCGGCGAAGAGAATGAGGGTGAACGGGACGTCTTTCTGAAAGACACCGCCGTAAATTCTTTGCACTGCAATCTCGTCTTTTTTTTGTGGCTGATAAAACTTTTAATTAAAAGGGAGCAGGAAACTGCTTGCATCGCTTTATATAGCTCGAAACACTTCCCTGGGCAGTCGGTACGGCACCCGGTACGGTCGTGTGGCGGTCCATCGACCGTGGGACGCTATCACGCTATCAGTACACGTCCGTGAGTGCGATAGAGTGCAGCCGAATTAAAATTCCGATGGGCCCTTGCGACCTCGTCTCTTTCCCGTACTGCAGTTTGGCTTTAACGTAAAGATTTAGCACTAATCGTGACGAATAATCTTACTAGCTTTCAATTCCTGTATTGTCCCACTGTGCACAAATGCATCGCGGAGAATAATTGCGCAAAGCGAGAAGCCGTTGCAATAGAGAAAACGTATGGCATCAAAAATTAATTATTTAACTAATTAATGGCTGCACCATGGTTCCATCAGACAGTTTCAAAGTAGATCAAGCGTCGGGTTCTAAACCTCTCGTCTCCCATTCGAGGCCCATTGTGCAAAAATGATCCAGATAGCAGCGGGGACACATCTACAACAGCCGCGTATTATAAATAATAAATTCAGACGGTTCAATGTAATTTCAAAGGTTTCCTCTTGCCAACCCTCCTCTTCTCGTTCGTGCCTTCAAATAGCAATGGTCCAACGTTTGTGTCAACGTGTTGTGAATGAAATATGCGAGCGTGATGACGAAATAGAGAGAGCACTGAGGAGCAGTGAAAGGCCAATAGCTTCCACTATAGGCTTGCTCGTATCTACCCAATTTTCCAATGTCCGTTGTGTCGCTTAGGATAGTAAGCTCTTGAAATGCCTTGAAGTATTGCTTTCAAGTATTGTTCCTTCTGTGGCGCGCTGCTGCTCGGCGGCAGGCTGGCCGCTTCGGGGGGCGTGTCCCCCTGAAG